AATTCACAGGGCCCAGACTGGTCCCTAGGACGGTCATGGGCCCATAGGACCGGTCCGTGCTTGGAATATACTTTAGCCGCAAACCCCCCCCCCCCCAATTTTTTATATCTTTTAATCGAAAATTATGTAGGAGGTACTTTCTTCAGGAGGTGATTTGTAAGTTTTTTAATTATTATTAAATAAATATACATGAATGATTAATTGTTATAAATTTATATGATTTTAATTTGAAGAAATAATTTAATTTTAACATAAATATAATATTCACACTTCACAATATGCAAATTTAATTTAAACTTAAACAAATAAACAATTAAATAGTTTTTTTATTAAATTATTAATTTAAATCATCAAAATTCACATCTTCCAAATCTTTTTTTGAAGAGGTTGAGTAGTTCAGGATCTTCAGGGTGCTGTTGTAGTCTTCTCTCTACATGATTCCAATCCCGTAAACATGTTATGACTTCAACCATCTCATCGGTTAATGAGCATCTTTTGTCTTTAAATGTGGCCACTAATTGAGAATGTGACTAGATGTAATTGTCGCAATTGGCACAGACAAAATGTCACGTGCCATTTGAGCTACAATAAGGAATCAGCTTCATTTTGATTCCACCACTGAAGCAGATCCATCTCATGCTCTCCTTATTGGTCATGTAGGACATGTCTATTAGTAGGTGTTGCAGCTCATTTGGCCCATGTCTACTAAGTTCCATATACATCCACCGTCACCGCTACTAAGTTTCATATACATTCAATATGAACTATAGTCATGTCCTAAATGCTGGCCTATCCAGTAAACATGCAATTAAATCCTTTAATTTAAACCTAGGATCTACAATATGACCTAATCCATATAAGAATGAATATCTAACTAATTTTCTGGTATTTCGTTTCCATGTTTGAAACAGTATGCATTAAGTCTGGATTATATCCAGTTTAGCAAAAGTTTTAGATATTTGAAGTAAAATATCTAACGCTAAATTAGTAGTAGGATAATAAATACCACTTAATGTATTAGTAAAACATAAAAAACTTTTAAGAAATGAATGAAAAATGTTGCAAACTGTCCAATCATCATCGTTGACGACTTCGTCCGAATAGTTCTTCCAGTTGACGAACTCTGCAATTTGTGTTGCGGTTGGCATAGCTCTTTTCAACATCAAGTACGTGCATTTCCAACGGACAGCATGTCACAATACAAATTCTTTGTCGAACCAACGGCTTCTCTTGCAATATATTTATGTACTCATTCCATGTTGTATTGCTACCGGCGATGAATCCGATAGCCGAGCTCACCTTTTCAATCCTCGCATGTATAACTTTTAAACCTACTTAACAATCAAATTGATGATGTGGAAAGTACATCTCTGGTGAAAATTTTGCCTTCAACAAGCAGATTCAATAAAAAATTGTCGCGGTGTTAGCAGCTTCATTATCAAGCGTTAGCGTCAAAACTCTCTCAGTTAATAATAATCTTGCAAAACTTCAATAATTATAAAATAAGTAGTCTCGGCACTATGTTTAGCATATATGGTTTAAAAACTATCAATTTTGTTGTAAATGCCAACTATGATCTACGTAATGTATTGTGATAATTAAAAAATCTGTTTTTGATCTCGAATCATATGTCTAAAATAAGTGCAATAATATATTTCTAAAATTTTAAATTCTTTTTTAAGTTGATCTCTTATTTTAGTCTAAAGTTTTTATATGTCCCTCTACTTGTACCTCTACTAACAGGGCTATACTGTGGACAAAAAGTAGTTTTAATCATATAAAAAAATGATTTTCAGATAAAAAAGGGGATAGTCCGTAGCAACTATGTACTTTGTTATTTCCTTTCGTGCATGAAGTGCATTGTATTGCCAATAAGAGAGTTGAAGATTGTGGATTAAATTAAGTTGAGTTTGAATTTGCTTATCGAGTCCGATTGAAGTTGAACCGGACTGAATACATTGGGGGTGCTACTTCTAGGTGCTGCACATCGTCGAAGTCCCATGCTCAGTGCTGATAATGGTTGAACAAAAATTACATACCCTCACATCTCTTCACCTTGCCCATTTGGCTTTGCCCGTTTTGATTTAGTGAAGAATCGCTATACCTTGACACACCCTCCTCGATGGTCTTCCGTGGTGTCGCAACTCACTTGTGTTTGCTGGACATAGTCTTGACTATTTTTGGTTATGGAATTGCTACCTGGAAAGGGTAAAAATGGATCGAACCCTCAATTTCTTCGGTGGATGGAGGAACTAGAACATAATACTCTTGGGGAATCCATTATGAATTTATGATAGAATAATAAATAAATAAAATGGAAGAATTGAATAATATAAATAATAGATGAATAAATATAAATATAAATTAAGAGAGTTTGAGAATTGGAGTCGAGAGAATGAGAGATTGAGAGTTGAGGAAAATGGATGGAAATAAGGAGTATCTATAGTTTATGTTTGGGCGCCCCCCCCCAATTTTGACCATTGAGGCAACGGTCAATTCCCTTGTTTTTTTGGTTAAATTTTAGTTTAACCCCTATATTTATTGTCAATCATTTATTGATATTTCCAGGGGTTTAAATGAAATTAGGAGGGGTTTGGGCCTAGGCCTGGAAAGGGACCGGCCCTAGGACAAGTCCCTCTCCTTAGGCTTGGTTTGGGTTTTGGCCCAAGCCTTATAGGATCGGTCTTTGGGAGGACCGGTCCTTGGTTTGATTTTTGGGTTGGTTTTTTGGGCCTACCAAAATTCCCCCTCTAAATTATTAATGTGTGAATAAAAACTTAATTACCCTTATCCTTTCCACCCCTACAACAACCCTCGCAACCCCTACAATTAATATTAATTTTCTTTAGGGGGTGCATTTGGATCAGGGGCATATAAGATAACAGGGATAATCTTCGTTTATTTTGCAAGATTTCGGTGTTTGGTTTGCAAGTAGTAAAATATGAAGGGTATCGTTTATTGCAAATAGTGTTTATTATCGGTAATGTGGGGGTAATCTGATACCCTCCCCCCCCCTAGGATAAAATATTATCGAGATAATCTGATTTTTTATACCCATTTTGTCCTTAATTAAACCATTTCGACACAATCACCCTCAAATGTCTACCAAATAACAATTACCCAATCCCCTTATATTTGCGAAATTAACTAAAACATTCCAACCACAAAAAGTTTAAAAGTTAACAAAATACCCTATCCACCCAAGACCCTGCAGCTGTACTCACCACCATTAGCCGCTGGCGTTAGTCTTTGTAATGGTGCTCAATCAGTGGGATCTAGCTAGTCGTATGTTGGTAAGGCCTTTTCCGCCATGATCTAAACAACTAGATTTGGCTGTTTCTATGGGGTTCACGACCATAGATCTGGTCATGAAGTGGCCATAGATCTGGCCGTGAAACGACCATGGATTTGTGATCCATGGCCAGAAATGCTTTGCCAATGCACAACCAGCCATATACAGCTAATCATGCACCATTTGTCAATTGTCGTCGGTGGTGGCTGGCTGCCAACAATGGCTTGGGTTGGGTGGGGTGATTTTGCTATAATTAAAGTTTATATGACTGGAGTGTTTTAGCAAAATTTCAAATGTAGGGGGTTAGGTAATGATTCAAAAAATAATTATATTAATATTTTAAAAAGAGGGCAATTTAGTAATCTGTATAACATACCCACCTATTTATCCTTTCAACCAACACATTATTCACCAATTTATTCGAACCCAAACCAAATTTGGTTAATAAAAGAAATGATCAATTAACAAAATTCTTTTTCTTATATTTTAGCCAATTATTTTATTGTTAAGTCATTGTCGGGAGCATACAAATGGAGACGAAGACCCGAGGTTGCTACGGCGGAGATGGTCGACCAACGACAGAGGGAAGAGGGAGAAGTTAGACTAACGAACGCAAACAAAACAGAAAACGAAAAATATAATGGAAAGAGGGCGAGGGACTTACCGGAAATGACAAATGGAGTGCTGCCTAGATCAAACAGATGGAGACGAAGACCCAAGGCGCTGCGGCGAAGATGGTCAACCAGCAGCAGAGACAAGAGCGAGATCTTACACTAATGAACGCAAAACAAACCCAAAATGAAAAATACAATGGAAAGAGGGCATTTGACTTACCGGAAAATGGCGTTCGGAGTGATGAAGTCGCAAACGAGATCAAGAAGAAGAAGATCAGCGATGGCGATGGAGATTTAGGGCAGAGTCTCGGTCAAAATGTATATTAGGGCTGAGAAATTTTTTTCTTTTTATATCGTAGTTTTAGTGAAATAAAAGGGCATATTGGCCAAAATATGCAAATATGTGATGATAATATGGGCACACCAATATTTCGTGGCATTTCTGAAAACATTAATAATAAGCAGGGCAATTTTGTTTGAAAAATTAAAAAACTGAGGAAAAATTCGTCTTTTTATACAAAGTGAGTGTTTTGTAATTATTAACAAAGTCAAAGATATTTTCGTCTTTATTGTCCACTATTTTGAGGCAAAATTAGACAAAAATTTAGATTACCGAAGTAATATTTTAATAACATCATCCCTCCAGGTACTGTTTACCTTCAATTTGGCACTGTTTAACATTTTTTTTTTTCCTGAGAATGTTCTTTTACAAAATAATCAAACATAATTATTTACCCAATTTAATATATATTGCCCCGTTTTATAATATCAACCCAATCCAAAACGGCCCTAAAATAAAATATTACTAAAGGTAAGTGTGCGCATGCAAAGCATTATCATGAATGAAGGCATAAAGCTCGTGCGACTGGACTGATTAAAAAGTTAAAACTAATTTTCTATGGGCTACAGGCTACATGCACTATTCTGCTTTAAAAAAAAAAAAAAAAAACCACGTGGAAAATGACGTAAGTCGTGACGTAGGGCCGGTAGAAAATTTTTGGAATCTTGCCACACTATATAGTAAACCCCGTGTGAAGTCTTAAAGAAGAGGAACTTGTTAAAATAATCAAGACTTCTGTTCTGTCACCATTTATATAAAGGCAACCCTTTCATAACAATTTTAAGAACAACACTCAAAACAAAACACTCCCAAAATCCCCAAATGCCTACCGCCGGAGCGTATATTCTTGTCTATCCATTCCTAACCTCAGGCCACATCATCCCTCTCCTTGATCTCACCCACCGTTTAATCACTCGCGGTTTAAACGTTACCGTCGTAATCACCCCTAACAATTCCTCTTTACTCGACCCTTTAATCTCTTCCCACCCTTCCTCCTCACTCCAAACCTTGATCCTCCCCACACCGTCATGGTCAGCTACCTCATCAAACAGACTTATCAGTATGATGCGTGGATTGCGTGAACTTCATTATCCTGCGCTCCGTACTTGGTTCAGATCTCACCCTTCACCTCCTGTTGCTATTCTGTCTGATTTTTTCCTCGGTTGGAGCCAACAGTTAGCTTCCGAGGTTGGCGTGCCACGTGTCGTGTTCTCGCCATCCGGCGCTCTTGCGCTATCGGTTTCATATGCTCTGTGGACTGATTTACCAAAGAGCGAAGATCCTAATAACCAAAATTTTCAGCTATCGTTTCCGAAAATTCCGAATTGTCCTACTTACCCTTGGTTTCAGATCTCTCGTTTTTATCGGGAGTGTAAAGAAGGAGACCCGGATTGGGAACTGTACAGAAGCTGCTTTCTTGAAGACAAGGCGAGTTGGGGAGTCGTGCTCAACTCAGCAACTGAAGTGGAACGAGATTACATCGATCACATGAAAAAAGACGCCGGCCACGATCGTGTTTGGGCGGTGGGACCTATGTTGCCGCCGGATGATGATTTGGAAGGGTCCACATCACGTGGTGGGTCCGCTGCGGTGCCAAGTCACGAGGTCCTCGAGTGGCTAGACTCTCATCAAGACAATTCGGTGGTTTATGTATGTTTCGGTAGTCGTCAGGTCTTAAATTCGAAACAAACGGAGGTCCTAGCAGCCGGTTTGGAGAAAAGCGGAGTTAATTTCATATGGTGTGTGCGGGAACGCAATGAGAGGAACGCGGGATACGAATACGGGGACCTTCCTGATGGATACGCAGATCGTGTGGATGGTAGGGGTTACTTCATTAAAGGATGGGCTCCACAGGTTGCCATATTAAGACACCGAGCAACCGGCGCGTTCTTGACGCATTGTGGTTGGAACTCGACCTTGGAAGGAATTTCAGCCGGTGTTGTGATGCTGACGTGGCCGATGAGCGCCGACCAGTTCACGAACGCACAGCTATTGGTTAATGAATTGGGAGTGGGGATCCGAGTTGGCGAAAATGTTGAGAATATTCCCGAGTCAACAAAGTTGGCTCAGTTGTTTGCTGAGTCAGTGGATGGGACAGGACCGCAAAGAAGCAAAGCAAAAGAACTGAAAGAGGCTGTCATGAAGGCGGTAAGTAAAGGAGGAAGCTCAGATAGAGATTTGGATGCGTTTGTTAAGAGTATAAATGAGCTTGAAAGTTGAAGCTGCTTGACTGGCTTAGTTGAAATAAAAATGACAGAAAGGGAAAATTGATTATTATTGTGGTGTTGCTTTGTCGTTTAGTGATTGAAAGAAGGGGAAAATTGTTGGACGCGATTAATTGGTTGATTTAAAGTGGAAATTTGTCTCCTAGTCCATGGTTATTGCGGAGGGTAGTAGATAACTCCATGGATTTGTCTCCTGTAGCTTCATTCTCCAAGGTTTCAAGGAGTTAGCACAAGAAGATGGCTGCGAAAATCAATTGATATAATATCTGTTTGTAATGTATTTTCATTGAAATCAGAAAATCACGAACTATTTAATGTATATGAGTTTTTTCCATTTTTACACATTTAATGTATTGCAATACTTCCAATAAGAGAAGTTATTAATGAATTATAAAATAAGGGTGTTTATTTAAATATGAAAAAAATCTGTTAAGGAGGACAATAAATTACCCTATTAGAATTTAATGACATAATTATAAATCGATGTTTATTCGTTAATGTTATTGGGGAATGGGGATCTATTCTCTTCTATTGTAATTTGATTGATAATCAAAGAATTCCAATAAGAGAGCTTATTCATCAATTTCAAAATAAGGGTGTTTATGATTATGTAATGCGACAAGATCGATTCAAGAGGACAATACACTAGTCTATTTGATGTTAATAACTTAACCATAGATCAATGTTGTACTGTTCATTAACGTTATTGGGGTTAATATTCTCTTCAATTATAACTTGATTGATAATTGAAGAATTGTCAAGGATTCAGAGTACCTTATTTTAATGTAAGCTCAAAATAAAAATATATAAACAATTGTTCGCCACTAAATGACAAAGTGGCTGTAGTTAGTGGTAAGAATTCTACGTTGTGGCCGTAGAGACCTGGGCTCGAATCCCAGCAGCCACAAGTTTTTTCATTAATTTTTTTTTTTCTGATAACTCCTATTTAATAGAAAATTTATGTTTTTTTTTTAATAAAAAAATGGATTCCAATTGAAAGCGATAAGGAAAACTTCCATTATCAATATAACAATTACTAAGAAAGTGATCAGGATAGTTTGCTAAAAGTTCATCGGACAATTATATAAGAAGAAGTGATAATTTATTAAAAAAAAAAAAAAAAAAGAAAATTAATGGTTGTCCAACTGTAATTTTTTGGAATCCTGCATATCTTGCTCTCCGTAACTTGTTCCACGCACAAGTCGCCTCCTGTCGCCATTATACCGATTTCTTTCTAGGTGTGGAGTCCAACTTGGCTTCCGATTTTGGAATTCCACGCGTGTTGTCTCGCCGTCAGGAGCCTTTGGCTAGTGGATTTATTCTCTTTGTGGACGGATCTACCGAGAAATGATAACCTGATAACATGAACTTTCATGTATCGTTTCCGAAAATCCCTAACTGCCCAATTCAACGCTGATATCAGATTACTTAGTTTATGCCGTACAATGAAGGAGACCAAGATTCAGAAATATCCAGGGTTCATGCTGGCAAACATGGAGAGTTAGGAGTGGTATTCATTGATTAACTCGTTCACATGTTGGAACAGTTATTTGGGATAATGTAAAGAAAGAAATAAGACGTACTCACGATCGAGTTTGGGCCTGGGATCTCTTTTGCCAGGTATTGATGACTTGGAAAGTTCCGTATTACGTGGCGGGTCGGTTAGCTGCCATGTCATGAGATGTTGACTTGGTTTGACTCGCGTCAGGGCCTTTCAGTTGTCTACGTGTCTTTTGACAGTGAACAATACTAAACAAATGGAGGAGCTGGCAGCCACTGCGGAGAAAAGCAGGATCCACTTTATTTGGTGTCTCGGGAAACCAGAGAGGGAACGTGGCAGATGATCGGGTTTGATCCCTATGGATTGTAAGACGATGTGTGGCGGGCAGAGGTTCATTATCAACAAGTAGGCGCCACAAGTGGCGATATAAGACGCCGAGCCGGTGGGAGCGTTCTTGAATACATTGCGGCTGGAACTCGGTTTTAGAAGGAATTTCGGCGGGTGTGGTGATGCTAACGTGGCCGATGACAACGGCTTCGTTCTCAACGCACGCAAAATTACTGGTTGATAATTGGGGGTAGGGATCCGAGTTGGGGAGGCGATCAGAACTCAAAATTCCTGAATCAACCATGTTGGCACGGTTGCTGACCGAGTCGCTGAATTGAACTATACCAGAAACGTGAAAGCCAAGGAGATGAGTGGGATGAGTTTATAAAGAGCATAAATAAACTTCAAAAGCAGAAGGAATAATGGAATAAGATTTTTAGAGAGTGGCCCGTGTGAGCCGGTCATTTTAATGGTTTTTGATTGAATGCCTGTGAGACTTTGAAGTCGGAAAGTTTGAATGTGAGTTGTGAGAATATTGGTATTTCTTACTTTTATATGCCTTTTTCGGTATATGATTGAAATGCCATTGCCAGTTGCCAGCATATAGTAATCCAGAACGTGAAGAACTCCATATAAATTTTGATTATCTATTAATTAGATTCGATAATACGCCTACCTATCTCGCCTATTTTCTGTTTCTTTGCAGTATAATGCCTTTTTATATTAAAGCAATATACATATCTAAAAAGAAAATTTCCTTCACATTCCATGCTTCTGATTTTCATGACGTCCAATACACCAACATGCTTCACTAATCCATTTAAATCCTTAACTGAACCCCGCCTTTAATAGCATCAACTGCTGCCTTACTCAACTCCATGGCTCTGTCCCTCATAACTCGGTTCTCACCCACCGATTCCGCCACCGCTTTGGCCAACTCGGTCGAGTTGGGAACATTTGTTCACCCTCGCACACTCTTGTCCCCACCTTCAACTCATCGACCAATAACTCAGCATTCACAAATTGGTCGGCTCCCATTGGCCACGCCAGCATCACTATCCGGCTACAAGCCCTTCAAGCACGAGTTCCACCCCAGTGAGTCAAGAACGCACACCCAGCCCGGTGATTCAGTATGGAAACTGTGGAGCCCACCTTTTATAACAAATCCCCTACCTGCCACACGACTCTTCAAACCCAAGTGGGATCATCCCGTACTACCCTCCACATAGCCTTTCGTGGGCTCCTTAACAGACCTATAAATTACCCGACTTTGCTCCAACCCGAATGCAAGCCCTCCATTTGATCATTGTTCAACACAGCTTGACTCCCGAAGCACACGTACACCACCTTCCAATCGCTACACGTGTCAAGCCAAGATAAACGTCATCCACAGAAACAGAACTGGACCCGCCTCTTTCAGTGGGCCAGATGAATCATCATCAGGAGGGAGTATGGGCCGACAGCCCATACACGATCACTGCCCATTTCCTTAGCTAAATGATCCAAATAAACCCGTTCTAACTCGCTGAACGTGTTGATCACGAGTCCCCAACTTCCGATATACCAAGAATCCATCTCTGATGATTTCCGAAACCGGGTTTCCTCAACATATCTACGATAAATCGGAGAAATTTGCCACCAAGGATATTTCGGGGCATTTGGAATTTTCTGCAATGTTAAAACTTCCGTAGGATCATCAGCATTCTGTAACTTCGGCATCTCACTCCATAGAGAATAAATGACGGACAATGCCTTTGCCCCGGAAGGTGAAAATACAAGGCGATGAATACCAAGCTCACAGGCTAGTTTATTCGTCCGCCCAGGAACATATCGGAATAATAGCCACTGGTGGTGAAGGATGATTTTTAAACCAGTTTAGCAGAGAGAGTAAAGTTCACCGAGGGCATGCATCATAGTAATAAACAAATTTGCAGGCAGGTCTCTGCTGTTTTCAACGCCATCGGGAAGGAGATGACCGGAAAGGAAGGACCAGGGTTTTGATGGAAGGGTGGTTGAAGGAGAGAAGAGGACTCAAAGATTAAGATTTTTTGGGGTGACCAAGATGGTTACGGTCAGGCGCACGGTGGCCAGCTGGTGGGTCAAATCGAGGAGTGGTATCATGTGGCCTTGAGCTGGGTAAGGGAAGACGAGGACATGCGCACCGGTGCCGAGATTGTCATGGTTGTTTTATCACTGAAGTTTTTAGAAATAATTTCTGGGAAAATAGTGAGAGGAGTGGGAGGAAAAAGAGAGAACCTGTACGCCTCATGTGATGGTGGTGCTTATTTTGAGGATCATGCATAGCAACCAAACGATAGAGAGATTGGGTTGTTCGGTTGATGACGAAAGGTAAACAAATTTAATGCGGTCGAGAAGGAAAGGAAGGAGTTAAGCAATGAACGGTTGAATTCTAAGGAATTTGATTTGATCGTTTGTGAAGAAGACGGTTGCAAGTAATGGGTTATAAGCTAAACCACAGACTTTCTATACTCAGAAATGTATAGAAATATAATACTATTGTAACTGAAAAGAGAAGATATGAATAATATGTGGTGATACAGATACTCGCAGAAGCAATGGTGTCGAGCCAAGTGCAAAAGAACATGCATTGTATTGTTGCATGTTAACCATTTGTCAAAGACTTTTAGTTCTGCTTCTGTCATCAGATACTCTTTCATTACTTTTATTTTTCTTAAAGGCCATTCCTTAATTATTGTGATAAGTTGTAAAACTTATTTCTAATTATTTTTCTAAATTGATTTATTACTTTATATGGTAATATAATGAAAATATTTTAAATTAAATTTAACATTACTTTATATATTTCACAGTATAATCATTTTAACCAATTGTTTAAGTCATCAAACGTATCTAAGACAACCTCCAAGTTTTGTGATAATCAATTGAATAGTAATTTCCCATTTCCATATAGGTTCACCACTGCCATAACCCATAAGGTCTACTACAAGGGATAACAATTTGATCCAAGTGACCTTTAATTTATATAATTTTTCATAAGGACTCAGTCTCTGTTATCATAATTTGTCTCTAAAATTTGCTAATGGACCTAAAACATTATTGATAAACACTATACATTAAATAATCAAAGATTTATTATTTAACCGAAATCTTAGAGATGGAAATTATTATTTTTGCAGTTAAAATTGGAACCTGTACGCTCATCAAAGCTAACTAAAATACCAAACCAACCATATCATATAAATGGGGTAGGCAAGGCCCGGCCCAATAGGATGGTCCCAATTCTTCAAGGACAGGCCCCAATTTGGCTGGGACCAGTCCAGGCCATGAAAATTCACAGGGCCAGACTGGTCCCTAGGACGGTCATGGGCCCATAGGACCGGTCCGGCTTGGAATATTACTTTAGCCGCAAACCCCCCCCCCCCCAATTTTTTATATCTTTCTAATCGAAAATTATGTAGGAGGTACTTTCTTCAGGAGGTGATTTGTAAGTTTTTTAATTATTATTAAATAAATATACATGAATGATTAATTG